TGTCGTCTTTAAAAGATATCCCTTCAGAAGTCTTTTTGTCTATTTTAATGTCAGCATTGATCTGTCCCAAAATTAGTGAAGTAAAGAGATGGTTTGGGGTCTTTTTTTTTTTTTTTTTTAACCTGATAGTGTCTCTTTTTTTGAGAAGCATAAGCAATTACAAATAAACCATCAGAACATACATGGCAGAACTGAAATTACTTCAAAGTATTATTTACCAAGAGGGAAGTGGATGTGACCCTGGCAAGGAAATGCCGTCGCCGGTCTAGGAGGATTGGTGTCCGTTGCACCTGAGACAGGGGAAACATGCCAGATGAATCAGGTGGCATTTATTTCCTCTCTTGGGGTCTGTTTTATTTCATAGAATCATAGGATGGTTTGGGTTGCAAAAGACCTAAAGGTCATCTAGTTCCAATGCCCCTGCCATAAGCAGGGACATCTTCTACTAGGTCAGGTTGCTCAAAACCCCATCCACATTTCTAGGTCATGTTGAGCTTCTCATCAACCAACACCCCCAAGTCCTTCTCCTCAGAGCTGCTTTCAATCCATTCTCTGCCCAGCATGTATTTGTGCATGGGATTGCCCCGACCCATGTGTAGGACCTTGCACTTGGCCTTGTTGAACTTGATGAGGTTCTCATGGGCCCACCTCTCCAGCCTATCAGGGTCCCTCTGGATGGCATCCCTTCCCTTCAGCATGTTGACCGCACACACAGCTTGCTGTCGGCAGCAAACTTGCTGAGGGTGCACTCAATCCTACTGTACATGTTGCCAACAAAGATGTTAAACAGTGCCGGTCCCAATACCGACTCCTGAGGAACGCCACTCGTCACTGGTCTCCGCTTGGACATCGAGCCGTTGACCGCAGCTCTTTTAGCGTGACCATCCAGCCAATTCCTTATCCACCAAGTGGTCCATCCATCGAATCCACGTCTCTCCAATTTAGAGACAAGGATGTTGTGTGGGACAAGGTCAAATGCTTTGCACAAGTCCAGGTAGTTGATGTCCGATGCTCTTCTCTTATCTACCAACGCTGTAACCCTGTCGTAGAAGACCACCGAATCTGTCAGGCACGATTTGCCCTTAGTGAACCTCCTTATTTTCCATATGCCTTAGCATAGTTTCCAGGAGGATCTGTTCCATGATCTTGCTGGGCACAGAGGTGAGGCTGACTGGCCTGTAGTTCCCAGTCAGCGGGAACTTTACCAGACTGCCACAACTTCTCAGATATGATGGATAGTGGCTTAGCAATCTAATCTGCCAGTTCCCTCAGGACCTGTGGATGCATCTCATCAGATCCCATGGACTTGTGTACCTTCAGGTTCCTTAGATGGTCTTGAACCTGATCTTCGCCTACAGTGGGTGGTTCTTCATTCTCCCAGTCCCTGCCTTTGCCTTCTGCAACTTGGGTGGTGTGACTTGAGCACTTGCCAGTGAAAACTGAGGCAAAAAAGTTGAGTATCTCAGCCTTCTCCGTATCCAGGGTAACCAGGTCTCCCATTTCCTTCTGGAGAGGGCCCACATTTTCTCTAGTCTTCCTTTTATCACCGACGTACCTATAGAAGCTTTTCTTATTGCCCTTGACACCCCTGGCTGGATTTAATTCTACCAGGGCTTTAGCTTTCCTAACCTGATCCCTGGCTGCTTGGACAGTTTCTCTGTATTCCTCCCAGGCTACCTGTCCTTGCTTCCACCCTCTGTAGGCTTCCTTTTTGAGTCTGAGTTTGTCCAGGAGCTCCTTGTTCATCCATGCAGGCCTCCTGGTGTTTTTGCCTGACTTCCTCTTTGTTGGGATGCGTCTCTCCTGAGCTTGGAGGAGGTGATCCGATCGTTGTGACCAACATTCTTGGGCCCCTCTTCCCTCCAGGGCTTTATCCCATGGTACTCTACTGAGCAGATCCCTGAAGTCTGCTCTCCTGAAGTCCAGGGTAGTGAGCTTGCTGTGCACCCTCCTTGGTGCCCTAAGGGTCTTGAACTCCACCATTTCATGTGCCATCATCATAGAAATCTTTGCTTAGCTTATACAAAGCACAGTGACTTCTTTTCAGGATTCACAGAATTAGCCCAGTTACGGATTTTTGGGGCTTTACAGGATTTTTTTTAAAGCATTCTTGTGAAAAAGGTGGCAACGGCTTGTGGGTTAACTGTTCTCCTCTTCCTTATCACTGCTTTCTTATATAGAAGTGGGAAAATAAGCTGCTGCTGCTTTTTGGTCTGTCAGCCCTCTGGAAGTGTCTCTTCGGGTTGCAATCTTCGTTAGGTGTGAGGTGGACTACCCCATTCTCAGCTAATGCAGCGCCATAGTCAAATAACTTGCTCTTGCCATAACTTAGCTACCCCGTGCCATTAGGTTTGAAAGCTCTGTTTTTGCTGACTGTACCAGCCACATTAGGATTGTGTTAAATTTGAACATAAATCTTCGTGTGCCTGTACGATGACCCACAAAGAAGGATGTAGTTTGTAATCTAGTGGTCTGCTGCCAATCAATGACCTTTGCAGTGTACACTTTGCATATAGGTATCCCTAATTGGGACCTTATCTTCTAGAATAGTATTTCATTGAGTATGGTGAGCTTTTAAAAGTATTATGTGTTTTCTGCTGGTTTGACACAGTAATCTTGCAAAAAGATGAGCAGCAAAGCTTGTCACTTAGGAATCCTTGTTGAATGGCAGCAACTGGGTTTTTTAATAATCCTCTGTGTTAAGGTTTAAACATACCGCAGTATGCCTGTGCTATACTAATTATGGATTTTATTTTTGATAACTAGAAATAGATTTGATTTTTAAATTTCTTTTAGCAGACTATCTCTTGGTGGAGTTCACAAGCTGCTTGCTAGTACAGACAGAAACAGGATTAATTGGAAAGATGATCGGTAATAAATACCCCAGGAAATCAGGTGGCAGATGACGACTGGCACGAACGCACTGAGAATTTTAAGGCATCCTCTCAAATCAGGTTTTTAGACACATATCTGTCTTGGCATATTGTATGAAAGGTGTGTGGTGTTTTTTTAAAAATTATTTATTTAATGCATTGGTTTCTCTAAAGATTTGGTAAAGACCTGGCCAAATGTATATGTAATTGAAAAGGAATATTAAAAAAACCCACTGGTGTTAATTATGGAAACAGGGTGCGGAATCCTAGCACACTGATTTCACTGGGAACAGGTTTTGTCTGCTAATGACTGCTATGAACAAGGCTTTCCCTGCAGAAAAAAACAAAACCAAAGCATTCTCCATTGATTTAAGACCATGCTTATATTACTGTGACTGAAAGTACCTTTGCCTGTGGCGCTGTCTGTCTCCCTTAGGAAGGGATGCAGAACGCTTCCCTGGTTTCTGTTATATTTTCTAAACTTCAGTTGCCTTTGAACTATAGTGTTGGTGCTTTCTCAAGTTTTATCTTTATTTTTACTCTAATAACTATTGCAGAAACTGTTTGACTTGCAGGAACACTGGCATCTCTTTGTCAGGTAAATATTTCTCTCACCAGGTATCCAGAGTATAGGGACTTTGTGATGTTTCTCTAAGTGAAACCCAGTTGCTGCTTGTTGTGCTCCACCTCTTGCATCTCCTGAAGCTCCCGGGGCTTCTGGGTATTGCCCAGCCTGACTGATGTTTCTGACAAAAGGCGCCTCTTTAAAAATGTTTGTTACTGTGGGCAGCATATGCCAGATACTTCTAGATCCTTTGCGGGATCAGCACTTTTGCTTGACCAATGTTGGGATCACCTTTCCCTTCCTTTCCCAGGTGGCCAGGAGGGAGCAGGGCTGTCCCTGCGTCAGCTACTTTATCCTCCTTCTGGACCTTCAGAGAAGGAGGAGGAGGACCTATTTGTCTGTGCTGAAATTAGATCAGGGTCCCATCTGAAATTTATACGAACCCACGTGTGGATTTCTGTAATTTTCAGATATGACCCCAATGAGTTTTCTTCCTGTTTTTTCCCCCCTCCTATTTTGAAACAACACTGAAAACACAGAGTGATCAGGATAAGAGTTGAGCACACTGGTGAGGTTACGTGTGTTAGCTGAGTCATTAGTGCTGGCGGTGCTCCTGGCCTGTTGCATGTGCCAGATGTGACATCTTTCAATGAAGTTTAAAGGCATGGTGAAAGATTATGGATATGGTTTCACATTGCTTTGGACTGTTCCAAAATTAATGTTTTTAAAAGCTGTTGCTGACAGCAAGTGTTAAAGGGTGTCTGTCCATCTTCAAGCTGTTACTACATGCTTCTCCTCCTCCCTGGCACCCTTGTGGCCCCCTATCCAAGCTGATCAATTTGAGGACCCAGCTGAAAAGTAACCCCTCAAAGAAGATTCAGCCTTGTGACCGTGTCGCGGTGATGAGGTGGCTGAGCCAGTCTAAATGCCAACTGCTGCTGAAAGGGACAGTTGGCTTAAACCTGCGTAGATGTAAAACCGTACCGTTACATGAAGCATTTCACTCTGCTGGCTGTGGAACAGCAACTTTGACTTTTACTTTCTGCAGCTGAATGTGTGTGAAATGATTCCTTAAGCTGAGGTGAGCACTGCCTGTTCATACTCAAGAGTTTTAACCTGTTGAGTCCAGGACTCTCTATTCCATTTAAGTTCTTCCTGCGTGAAGTTAAAGACAGTTCCAGCATGTTCTTCATGCGTATTTCGAGTTTATACTGTGCTTGATACCAATACTGAATTTCACTGTTGCTTTTGAGTATGGGAATAAATTGATTTTAAATGAAGACTCCGAGTTGACTGGCCTTGCAGGCATCTAAAATGTGTGCCTGTGTCCATCCGCATGCGTACTTATGCATATGTATATACACATACACACTCACGCTTATATCTCTAGCAGGAAGTCTTGGAGCCGGTGGTTCTCCCCCAGTAGCTCTGAGCACAGCCAGCTTCCTAGGTACGTAAACTGGAAACAATGGGAATTCTTCTTCTTGGCTTCTGTGAACTTCAGCTGAGGTTGTAGATGCTCACTTCTCATACTGCTTTCTAGCAACTTCTGGCACCGTTTAGGTTTTGAAGGGTCCAGTAGAGAGTTTTAATGTTTTGAATTTCAGGTGGTCCCATTTCAGCCATCTGTGTTCAACCTTGGTGTGACTGTCAGTGACTTTCTCCCTCGAGCTGTAACTCTGCACTTGTACTCTTAACAGGTTCCCAGCCCTCCTGGAGGTGGCATGTGTGAGGAAAAATACTTGTAAGTTCCAGAAAAGTTTTGAATTTTACTTTTCAGTTGTGGCACAGACCTCAATCTAGGTTCAGTAAAATTAGTGGCTAAATTCCTGTTGATTTACTGGAGGCTTCCTTGAGACCTCTCCATCAGTAATTCAGTTCATTTTGTTCTATCTATTACATGCTTCGCTTCTTGTTGTAGAGCACCTTCTTTTTAATTTTTAATTTCATAATACTTTGCATCTTTTGTCACAGTTTAGCCAGAGAGGATCAATACACAGACAGCTCCAGAACTTTCCTGTCCAAGTCAGTATTGCTCTTGTGCTTCTAGTCATTATCAGTACTCATTTAAGAAGCTATCAAGCCCCACTGTCTCTGTTGAAGAAGTTCCTTTTTTTTTTTTCCTGTATTGATTAACTTAACTGTTTTGAGTAAATTTGACTGCCTGTGGCTACTGCTGACCCTAGATTCCTGCAGTACCTCCAAGCAAAATGCTAAACATAGCTGGCATTCTTGGTACAGCATGAGTGGGTGTGTTGGCAATTTGGGGGCGCAGGACAAAGCACTGCAGTGCGTATCCAGGGCAATCTCTTATTTGGGGGGAAGAAAAAAAGAGTCTTATCCTGTGTTAACTTCTTTTTACTCTGGGAGCACAGCATTGAGAGATGAGATCCCTCTCGCTGTGGTTATGTA